TGAAGAGCCAGCATCCTTTACCCAACCGGGCTCTCCAGCCTTTCACACTTTTTCTTCAGGCTCTGGGGGAGAAGCTTCCATTAGGATCTGACTAGGCTTGAGGTGAGAGAAGTGCTCTTGAGGCCTTCATACTCTCCAATTCCAGACACTCAGGAGACAATCACCCAGCCAGAGGCACCTCTGCCTCTCCCACTCCATGATGCTTGCTCTGGCTGAAGAACAAGGCCATGATCTGCCAGACAAAGACAAGGAACCAGAGTGCTTACCTCATTGCCGGGCTGAGTCTCCACAGATGCTGGAAAGAGAGAGAATGAGATCTCAGTCAGGATCACATGTGGTTTTCCCTGGGGAGGTTGTGGCCCTCGGTGTCAGTACATGTCTTTGCTTATCCTGGACTCCCGTGGCTTTAGGAAAGCCTGTCACAGGGATGTCTGAGCACAGCCAGCCTTCCCTCCCTCCCTCAGAACTTTACAGTAAAGGAAACTGGAAGTGCAGAAGCACAGGGCAGGTGGGAAAGTTCTCTTCAGAGGTCTGCTACCTTTCTGAGCCTTGAGATGGATAACTGCCCCCACCAGGAAGACAACTAGGCCAAGCAGGAATGCTGCAGCTCCACTCAGGATCTTTCTCCAGGAATATTCAGACTGAGCCACTATGGGAAAATGAGACTTCAAGTCAGTGTGGTGCTCTCAGTACTGGACCCCACTTCTTAAAACCCCAAAGCCCAGTACTGCTCAGGGAAGAGTTAAATCTAGAAATGGAGTTGTCTCTCATCTGTCACTGATTCTGGGTGTGGTGTGTGTGTGTGTGTGTGTGTGTGTGTGTGTGTGTGTGTGTGAGCACGTATTTGGATAGATCAGAAGTCAACTTCTGGTGTCATTCCTCAGGTACTTTCCTCCTTTGCTATTCTTGCTATAGTTCAATGTCTCTCACTGACCTAGAACTCACTAAGTAGACTAGCCTGGTTAGCCTGTGAGCCCCAGGGATCTGCCTGTCTCCACCTCTCTGGCTCTGGAACTACAAGCAGGGACCACAGCACCTGGATTTTTTATATAGACTCTGAGGATCAACCTCAGGTCCTCTCAATTATACGACAAGCCGTTCATCAGCCAGGCCACTTCTTCAGGACTATCCTTGATGTATAGCTCGTGACCACGTCCCTAGAGATTAAAGAGGTAAAGGATGCTAGGTCCTAGGGTTAGAGGAAAGTTATGAGTTAACAGCCTCCTTATCTATCTCCTGGATATTTTGAGCATAGATGTCTGTCCTGTTTTCTCCTGCCCTGGCACTAGGTTTATTATATCAGGAGGACTTGCCTTGTTATCAACATGAAATGAACACAGAAGTGACAGCCCATACAGGCTAAGGCCCAGAAGTACAGAAAACTAAATAAAGCTCACTCCATGCCACAGAAACAGGTCTGGGGAGGCCGAGGTGCTCCACGAGGCAGCTGTAGACGTCTCTGAGCTGTGGGGTCATTTCCAGCATTACCGTCGTCTGGAAGGTCCAGTCTCCATTCCTAACAAAGCCAGTGGACAGGACCCCAGACCTCTTCTCCTGTCCATTCTGGAACCTCCTGATGCATATGTCCCCGGGGTAGAAGCAGGTTGTTCTGCTGCAGCAGTGGGGTCCTCTCTGGGTACACTGTCACATCCATAGGTGCTGGCAAGAGAATAAACAGCACAGCAATGACAGGAGTGTCCATAGTGACTGTGACCACCCTGAGCCATTTCTCAGTCCAGCCAAGCAGAGGCTGGAAGTGTGGGTACCCAACACCATGGACTGAGAAGCATGTGTGGATGCCCACAAGGAGGATTTAGACTCTGCTAGGTCCCCCAACAGTCACCCACTGTATCTAAGGGTAACTTACATCTCAAGATGTGGTTTTCTATATACAAATAAAAATCGTATGTTGGGTCATGGGAAGTGAAAGTGTCTAGGGTTTGACAGGGAATAATGGAGGACAGTGGAGACTGTGGGCGAGCACAGCTGAATAACAGAGGACAGTGAGGACAATAGGCAAACACAGCCGAGGTGCATGACGAACTCGCATCAAAGTGTATTTACAAAACCCAATACTACCACAAGTAATATGCTCCAGTAACAATTTACTTTAAAGGAGATGTGGAGCTGAGAGATGGCTCCAGGGTTGAGAGAATTTGCTGCTCTTGCAGAGGACAAGTTTAGTCCCCAGCATCCTCACTGGGTGTCTGGAATTGCCTGGAACTCCAGATCTAGGGTTCAATGTCTCTTCTAGATTCCACGGGCATCCACATGTGCACACTCACACACAGAGACACACACATGCACATTAAAATACAATGTTCACAACGGAGAAATGTGCTCCATGAACTGCACACAGAGTGCACTGTGGACTTAGCCCATTTGACCACTATCCCAACTTTACAATATAGAACAAGCATTCTGCCCTAAGATTTGTAATAAAAAAAAATATAGCATATATTCTTTAAAATATTATTTATTCATTGTATTTCTGTGTATATGTGCATTCCTGCATGAGTTTGTGTGCACCACACACATAGAGGTGTCATGGATGCTGGAGTGTGCCCTGGAACTAAAGTTCAAGGCAGTTGTGATCCCCGTACGGGAATAGGAAAGGAGCTCCGTTCTCTGCAGCAGTCAGGGCTCTTCACACCTGACGCATCTCTCCAGCCTCAGTGTGTCTTCCTGTTCCTGACTTCTTACAATTTTGTGTGTGCTTACCTTTGCTTTGACTTTTTTCATTTAACTTTAAGTTTGTGTGTGTGTGTGTGTGTGTGTGTGTGTGTGTGTATCTACAAGAGCACCATGTGTGTGCTGTGCCCTCAGAGGTCAGAAGAGGGCATCAGATTCCCTGCAGCTGGAGTTACAGATGGCTGTGAGCCACCTTGTGGGTGCTGGGATCTGAACTTGTGTCCTCAGCAAGAGCAGCCAGTGCTCTTCTCTGCTGAGCCGGCTCTCCGCCCCTCACCTCTGCTTTGATTTCTGTCTGTAGCTTTTCCTTTCTATTACTGAGTAGAGGTCTGCTGTAAGAACTGACCACAGCTTCTCCACACCACGCTCTCCCACAGAGCTGCAGGTTGTACAGGGAACTTCACGGATGCAGCTTTTGTGAGTCATTGTCAGGTGGGGGTGGGCATTGTGTGTGTGTGGCTGCCTCTGGGTCACCATGTGCCTGTATGTAACTCCTATCCCATGATCCTGTCCATAATTCCAGTAAACTCACTGCTTCCCCAAGCTAGACCTGGGCAGAATTGTCTCATAAGTATATTGTCTGGGTCCTGTCAGGGTGAGCAGTGTCAGTCTCTGCAGGAACTCAAACAACATATAATAAATGTGTGTGAGCATCCCCCAGGCAAAGATAGAGAAAGAAAAGAGGGAACTCACTAGCTGGAGTTACTGGGCCTCCTCCTTACAACCCATCGGGACTAAGGACATGAAGCCGGTGGGAAGATGTACAGAGAGAAGTGCTGGTTCTGCTTGTGCAACCATGGGGTGAACTGGCATGGCCACAGCCCCAGGGGCAGATGGGAACTCAGTCCAGGCAGAGGACACAGTGACTCCCCTTCCTCAGACAAGCCTCGGCTTGCTCTTAAGGCTCCCAGCTGTGGCCAACTCAGCCTGATTGTCCAGGATCATCTCTCTACTTAACATCATCTGGTGATAGAATTAATCACACCCACAAAATACCTCCACAGACACAGGGGTATTTGGTTTCATAACAAGGGACTATAAGTTAGACCTTCAAATACAGTCACTACATTATTTAAAGGGAATTTTCCCTTATTCCACCAACAAGTGGGTAGAAGTAGACACACTCTGTGATTACCTTAATACATTTGCCTAGAAGGAGGCAAGCCCTCAGTGAGGCTAAAGCCAGAGCCAGCACCTACTTCATTGTGTCCAGGCAGGTGCTGGGGTGTCCCATCCCACCCCTCACAGTCTCCACCTCTGTGAAGGACAAAGGCTTGCACACTCATCTCAGGACAAAGGAGCTGGTCCCAAATGTCTAGAAGCTTGTAGCCTCCACAGAGTGCAGAAAAGTCAATAGAACCCACAATCGTTGCCAAGACTTAATCCTCAGACTCACACACTCATCTGAAATAGTCACAGAAGAGAACAAAAAAAAATGTGTAAAATCCAGTAGTTTGGGGAAGAAAGATACTTTTCTAAGTTACAAAAATTCCCTTCAACATTTCACTGAATGTTCTCACATTAAAAACTATATTAAGAATAATTGAGCTAGCCAGAACTTTCTTGTGTGTTCAGTGTCCCTAAACACCCTTTAAACATGGTCAGGCAGCATCAACACACAGAGAACAAATATTACTCAAAAGAAAAGAAACCTGGATAAGACACTGGGAAGTCCTGAAGGTACCCACAGGTCCTGCATTCCTACTGAAAACATCAGGTGTTCTTCCCAGAGCAAGGAGCCTCTACACCTGGGCTCATACAAACAGAAAGAGCAAATAAATTGACTGGCCACTGTCTTTGGGACACTTTGGAGAGGTGGATCCACTCACAATTTGGAGTATTCTGTACACACTTATGGTAAGAAATAAAGAAAAAAACAGTTAACTCCTGATGCATGAAAGCCCGAGAAAGTAGTTGGGTGTCGAGGTTGGAGAAGCACCAGGAAGGGAATAAATTCAGGAGAGACTTTCTGGACAGTGCAGCCCAGACAGATATGAAGAACAGTATTATTGTGGCTGAGTTCATCTGTCCATGAAACTTTTCAGAAATCCCCTCCTCTCTTGCCATGTGCGCACATAAGCACAAGACAGAGTCTGACTCGGAACCCCCATCTTCCCAGGCATTCCCTCAGTCCTCTCTGATCAGAGCCTGCAGCAGGTCCAAGGAGTTCTCTATCCTCTTCCAGGCCTCTGAATACAAAGTCTGCAGCTGGCAACAGTGACGTCATCACAAAGGAATTTTCTGATTGGGTCAGGCGAGTTTGGTTTGGGTGTGTGATCTCCTTGGCTGGATCCTCACAATCTCTTGAAGACTCAGGAATGCAGCTGCAGAGATCACCCAGAGGACAGGATGCCACTCAGCAGAGCTCTGATTCTGGGGGTCCTCGCCCTGACCACCGTGCTCAGCCGCTGTGGAGGTGAAGACAACATTGTGGGTGAGTTTTGCAGCTGAGGGACTCCTGGAGCCGGGCAATGGGAAATCCACAGAAGAGGGACATACAAATTGTCAATATTAAGCAATCTAACAAGTGTGTGATCTCTTCTTCTTGAGACTCTGGTTGGTGAGCACAGCTCATGATCCACCAAGCCATAGTTCTACCAGTGGACCCAGTGAGGGAAGGATGGAGGGCTCTGTGACAGGCGGGCTTGTCTCAGAACTTGGGGGTGTTTCCACGAATGAATGATTATCATTACTTAAAATCTGTTTTTAGTAACTAGCATTACTCTAAAATTTCTGTGAGTCTCTGAAGCCTTTGTACCTGTAGTGTATTCTAAGGAAAACATTTCTGTGAATCATGTACACAAATATACAGACAATGCTCCCCTATGGGGTTTACACACACCCTTTTCAAGCCAGGGGCTGGCTCTGGTGGGAAGTCAGAAGATCATCATTTTACCAGACAGTCTTAATGACTTTGGATTTCCTCATGTGTCACCTCACAAGTGACAAGTTAAGTAAATATGTAGGTGTGCTTTTAAAAATAGTGAAAACAAAGCTGGGTGGGCCTTGCACTGTGTGCTAGTAACTGCGTGCTTAGGTGCTGAAGCAGGAGGATCATGAGTTCAAGGATAGCCTGAGCCCATAGTGAGATCATGTCTCAGAAAAGTATCCATTCATTAGTGAATTCCTATAAATGCCACTTTTCTTCTTTGTTTCCATTATAGATACAATTGAGTATTTTTATAACAAAGTAAGGAATGTGAGCTGCCTGTTTTACAGACCACTTATACCCCCTGAAGTTCTATGACAACACCCCAGGCAAGCACTCGCTACAGCAGCCTGTGGCCCTCTGCCTGGGTTGCCCACCTCCCTCCACACTCTGCCGACATTCCTCATCCTCTCTCAGATTCCTCCTTAACTCCACGCTGTGTTACAGACATGAAAAGAAGCTGTGTAAAACAGCAGTTGAAAAGTCAAGTGTTTAAAACAGGAAGTGAAAGGGGTTGAGTGTCCTTGTGCAACATGGCTGCTCTCTTTCCAGCTTTGTTGGGAGGTGGAAGTCTCACCTGCTTCTCCAGGGAGCGGTGGTTTCTCTGTCTCCAATTTCTTCAGTGTCACACTAGGGTGCCCCAATCCAGTGTGAGCAGGCACAGTGGGCAAGGTTCTGAGGAACCACAGAACTGAAGGGCTATGTGAAAAGATTCTCACTTCTTTTTAATTTAGAAGAAAACCCACAAGTTTCAAGTCTAAGAAAATGCTTTGACTTTAATTTAGCCTATATTATATTTTCTTATATATAGAATATGACTTTTAACATTTTCATCAAGGAAGGCTCCAAAGCTAAATGCATGGGGCACACAGGTCGAAGCACAGCCCAGGTCATCACTGACCCTGACTTTCACATGGGTCTGACACCTGTCCATCATTCCCAAAGTCTCCGTGGGCCTCAAAACTAACAGTCATCACTCAATACTCACTTTGTCAAGCATTTGCTCAATCAACAAGTCGGTGCTGAAGCATATAAACCTGCTGCCTGCCCCGAGGGTGTTGGTAGATTATCGAGGGAAACAGATCAAGGTCAGGAAGCAGAAAGGCCTGTGTGGAATGGATTCAGCTGAGGCCAACACTGTACCAGCAGGGGGCAGTGCAGAGTCCTCAGCAGCACCTGAGGCCCAGGACAAGCACCCGCTGAAGTGAACGCTGTATACATCCACAGTTGGAAAAGACGTCGAGAAGGTTTATTAATAATGGATAAAGGAGCTTTGAGGGAGAGGTGTGGTGTGTTATCGGCTGATAATAACAACCAAGATGGCCGCACTGGGAAGGGAAGGACCAGAGGAGCAGTCAAACATGTATAGACAGACAGACAAAGGGGGTTGGGGGGCGGGTCATAGTGCAGTTGGAAGCCTATTAAGTAAAACTCAGCAGAAACCTTCAGAGTAGAGGAGGGTTTCTGCAAACAGAAAAATGACAACAGCAACAACAACCTTCATTTCTGTGAGAAACAGAGACCCCTGCCATCACCAGGACCATGAGAGGATGGGGTAGTTAGTTTTGATTGACAGTCGCTGTGCAGAACTGACTGTAACTTACCCACAGCCCCTCACAGCACCTCACATGCATTCTGTCAACTGACCTCACATTCATCAAGCCTGGTGACTGCGGAGGCCAGGCCTGGCTGCCCAGTTATCCCTTGAACAGCACTACATCTGACACTTGCTAGAAGTCAATAAATGAAGAAGGAAGAAAAGATTTATAAAAAAAAAGTAAATAGTAGATCCATGCCTTGCTGATGTTTACTTGATGATGATGTCTACTTGGCGTCCTTTGGGTTCACCTGTCCACACTGGCGGCCATTCTCCTCGGCAGCTCACACATGCTCACTGTCAGAGGAAAATGCTTTACTTCACAGTGAATGTACAAGTGAACATCGGTGAAGATTTAGAAATACATAAGAGGTGAGGGTTAACAGAAGCACAGAATCCAATAAAGTCTCTGTTTCTTTTACTCCAGAAGAAATCAGAAGACTGTCCTCTGGATCTCCAGTTAATGCAGGAACTTCAGACAGAACAGTTCCCACATACTTTGTCATGATGTCACTGTTCTCTTATAGAAGATTCTATATACTTTTCCTGTGTTAAAACGGAAGAAAATTCGTTGTATGAAAAATGCTCTTTTTGTGAAGGAAAGTAAAATGTAATATATTATTAACTGATAGAAGATCAATGAGATACAAAACTGAATAAGGGAAGGAAATACACCGACTGAATCTTTGAAAAGAAAGCTTTCTCCCTCTATTCAGCTGTAAGCTACTTGGCTTGAGATATCTGTGTACCAGACACTAGACGAGGCAGTCAGGATGGCAGAAATCAAACCCATGACATTCCACTGTGATGTTCCACATGTCACAGAGGGAAAGACTGGATTGTAACCCACACCAAGAGCAGGAGGGAGGAGCACATGGTGGAAATAAACCACAAAAATGAAGTTCGTGGTATTTTTTAAAGCATTTTCTATCAGTTTGTTTAATAACATTCTTTTTTCTTCCTGTTTTGCATTTTTCCACTGTCCACCTAACTTCATCAGCCGACCACGTAGGCAACTACGGTATAATTGTCTATCAGTCTTATGGACCCAGTGGCCAGTTCACATTTGAATTTGATGGTGATGAGTTGTTCTATGTGGACTTGGATAAGAAAGAGACTGTCTGGAGGATTCCTGAGTTTGGACAAGTGAGAAGCTTTGATCCTCAACATGCACTGCAAAACATAGCTATATTAAAACACAACTTGGACATCCTGATTAAGAGGTCAAATTCAGCTCCAGCTACCAACAGTAAGTGCAAACCACCCTTCTCCACCCTCCCCTCCCTGGGGTTGGTGGTTGGATATGATCCATGTATAAATGGTTCTATAAAATCCTCTCTTTGCCAAGGAGCACCCAGATCTCATGGTTGGATACTCAACCTCTCTTTTCTTAAAAAAAAAAAAATCACACATTTCCTGTAACATATCACTCACTGTTCCCATAATACACTCCTTGAATCTTTAGAAAAAGCACTGAGAGACATCCTACCTCACACCCTAGAGAGAGGATACAGGGAGAAAGTGGATTCAGTGCACATTAGCTCCATGCAGAAGGGACGATCAGGCTCTTTGTGTGTGAGTCTTGTCAGGAGGGCTCCCTCACCAGACAGTGCAGAGCTTCAGGGAGAGACGCTCCCGTCAGCCTCTAACATCCTGACCATCTCCTTTGCAGAGGCTCCTGAGGTGACCGTGTTCCCCAAGTCCCCTGTGCTGCTGGGTCAGCCCAACACCCTCATCTGCTTTGTGGACAACATCTTCCCTCCTGTGATCAACATCACATGGTTGAGAAAAAGCAAGTCAGTCACAGAAGGCGTTTATGAGACCAGTTTCCTCACCAACCCCGACCATTCCTTCCACAAGATGTCCTACCTCAGCTTCATCCCTTCTGACGATGAAGTTTATGACTGCAAGGTGGAACAGTGGGGCCTGGACCAGCCGGTTCTGAAACACTGGGGTGTGTATGAGCTCTGCCCACCTCTGACACTTTCTAGTTCATTGTCATCTCTAGAACAGCATGTCTTCTGGCTCTCCAGAGACACAGCAGGAGAGTCATCACAAGTTTAAGACAATTTTCCAATTTTAAAGTGTTTCTAAGGCTAGATTTCAAGGTCTTCCATAAGCCCAGCCCACAAAGTCTATGTAGATTAACTTTCCCCTTCACCCTGGCCCTATCATACACATACATGAATATGCTGTCTTTTGACTTCAAAACTTGTCTTTCTCAGAACCTGAAGTTCCAGCCCCCATGTCAGAGCTGACAGAGACTGTGGTCTGTGCCCTGGGGTTGTCTGTGGGCCTCGTGGGCATCGTGGTGGGCACCATCTTACTCATGAAAGGCCTGCGATTAGGTGGCACATCCAGACACCCAGGGCCCTTATAAGTCACACCCTGGAAAGGAAGGTAAGGGTCTGCGTTTGTGGGAGATGAAGCTAACACACAGGGGAAGCAAGGGAAGGGAAGACATGAAAATGTGGTTGGGACATGGCTGGAGAACTGTGCTGTGACATTATCACAGCTCAGGAGCCTCTGGAACCCATCTGTCTCCTGTCTGTTTTGTGGCAGGCATGTGGCCCTCTCCAGGGAGGAAGTGGTGTACTGGGTGACCCAGAGCAGTGTGTCTTCCAGCCCAATACATCATCATCTTTGTCTTCCCCAAGTGTCCTCCATCTGTCTTTTCCCTTGGCCCTAAGTCTGTCCCTGGTCACAGCTCACATATCTTGGAATTCTCCCCTGATGTGAGTTTTGTTTTCTGGCATCTTCCAAATTGTATGTACTGTAGACTCTCTCAGAACCCCTGATTAATAGCTCCACAAAACCAACAAATCTCCTGTTATATGTTGTCTACTGGTTTTTGTTTGGTTTTGCTTTTCCTGTCTTTCATTTTGGAGCTTACTGGAGCCAGGCTCATGTAATCTAGTCTTCAGTGTCACAGGAACGACCAAATACAGTCCAGAATGCTTGGGTAACTTAACTGAGGTTGAACATTCTCTCTTCATTTTGTTCCCAGCCCTGACCACTCTCTTCTGTCTACAGTCAGGTTCAGGGAGGTATGGTATAAAATCTGCCTCAATGTATACTTGTTGTGATAAAACACCAAGGCACAGGGTGCACATGAGTAATTCCAGCACTCCAGAGACAAAACAGGAGAGTTCTCACAAGTTTAAGGCCAACCTGGTCTGCCCAAGGCAAGCTGGAGCTATAGAGAAAGGTCCTGTCTAAAAAATTAGAGACAGAAAAGAAAAGGAAAAAAGAACTACACTTATTTTAAGAAAGCTCTAATGAAAAGAACTTTGAATCTCAAAAGTGAATAAAAGTTTTAAGAAATGTTATCCTAAACTCAAAATTGTTCTCAAAACATATGGACTCATCAAACCTCTTGGTGTGTCTCTGAGGTAACTTCCAGAGACAAATATGTGAAGTGGCAAAAGCCCACCTGAATATAGGCAGCAGCATCTTGTGGGCTGGGACAAAGAAAAAGTAAGCTAGCCCTCACCTTTATCTGCATCCTGACTGTAGATGCAATGTAACCAAACACCTCATGTTCCCCTTGCCTACCCCAGCATCATGGACTGTGTTCCCTCAAACTGTGGGCCAAAGTAAATCCTTTTCTCTTCCTCCCTTACCCTCCCTCCATAAGATGCTCCTCGTTCTGTGTCTGTCACAGCAGCAAGAGAACTAACTCCTGTAGTAACAGAGTTCATTCTCAGAGCTGAGATGACAGGATCCTATAGGTCCACAGCTGGATATGTAGCCCTTCACTAACCAAAACTTTGCCATGTGGTACACGGCTATGGCTATATTTTAGATTATGATAAAATATACAGATAATTATTAAAATAATATGTGGTAGAGAAAGCTTTAAGTTTGTGATGGTGACAAGGCACATGCCCTTGGTCCTCACAACAAGATGATAAAAATCCTTAAAGCAAGAAAGGAAATGAATATCTGTAGACTTAGATTTTTCAAAACCTACTTTAATAGAGGTTCTTACATGCCTTAACCTCCCTTCTATCCCTCCACCACCAGAGGCAGTGGAAAAGAAAGGTTAATAGAGCAAAGGAGGATGTGGACCTGCTTAAAAATAGTTCTTTGGAGCAAATCCAATCTTCATAGTCAGGATATCACACAAATCAGCAATGGCAGTTCAATCCAAAAGAAACCTCAGGCAGCAAGAAGCCACCAGAATATCATGAGAAATTCTTTGATGCTTTTTTCTCTACTAAGTCACAACAAATGACTATCAGTGAAGAAGGCAAAGCTAACCAATGCCACACAATGTCATCAGGATCAGCAAAGCCCAACAGAGACCAGCAGAGAGTGGAAAACCAAACCAATGACACACAGCATCATCCACTGTCTGTTGGATTATATTTATATCCTTTCCAAACATCACGTGTTCTCTCAAGCATCTGCTCTAGTGAAACATCGCATGCCCTTTTCTAGGCAGCTTCCAGAAGGACACATGTCTAATTCTCAACAAAACACCCCCCATGTGGAGATCTGAATAGTGCCGCGCCCTTAAGATGGCGCCGGTCTCCGCCTTCCGCCATCCCGATGGCGAGTGCTCTTAGGAGTAAACAAGTCCTTATTTGGCTGTGGCTGGTGGTCTGGCTTGCTTCTGTGTATGTGGACCTATCTGCTTTTGCCATGTGGCTTGCTGGGGTAGGCTGTTCCTAGAGTACTTAAGCCTGGGAGGCGCTTCCCCCGGGGTCAGAAGATTGTTCAAGGTTCTTGAATAAACTGCTTAGAGAAGAGCTCATGTGCGGCGTCATCCTTGCTGGTCGAGTGTGGGCGAGACAAGTGGTGGCCCGTACGGGGAAGCCAAAGCTCAGAACTTCAAGCAGTCAGGGTGGTACACCAGTAAGTTCTCAGGTTACGTTAGGACATAGGAAGGCCCTCGGTAAAAGAGGCGATAAAGTTTCCGGGTAGGAACAATAAAGTTCCCAGGTAAGTGGGACAAGAGAAAGTTCCCGGGTAAGTGGGACAAGAGTAAGTTCCCGAGGTGAGTTGGGACAATAAAGTCCACGGAGCGTGGCCATTTTGCTCTTCTCTGTAGACAAAGAGAGAGCGGACAAGTTTGCGGTGTAGTGAACCAAAAGTGAAAGGCACGGCATCTCGAAAGTATACTTTTGGGGTGGAATTTAGTTATGGGCGCTTCTCAGTCACACCCAATTTTTTTGGCTCTTCAAGAGCTGCTTTTGTCAAGGAGTTTAAAGATAAAAAAGCTCAACTCTGTTAAGATTTTTAAATGAGTGTGATACCGTGGCTCCGTGGTTCACGGTATCAGGAAATCTTACAGTATCCTGCTGGGACAAGCTCGGCAGAGACCTAGACTTTGCTCAGGAACAGGGAACTTTGCAAAAAGGGGTGAGACCTATCTGGAAGTTAGTGAGAAGCTGTTAGGAAGATCAGAAATGCTGTAAGGTAGTCGAAGAGGAACAAACAGCCTTAGAAATGTTGCAGGAACAGAGATCAGAGAGGGCTCCAAGTGAGAAGAGAGGTAAGAAAAGGGAGCCGTTGTACCCTAGTCTTGAGGACTCAGAGTCCACGGACTCAGAAGGAGAGTTACATGCCCTAATAGAACAGCTAGAGAGGACAACTGTGAGGAAGAGGGAAAAGAAAAAAGAGAAGGAGAAACCCCCGTTGGCAGCAAGCGGCGGATCGGAGGCTACCATTAAGACACCCTCAGTTCCTCCATCTTATCTTGAAGCTGCACAGGCTACTCTGCCTACTCAGCCTGCTCCACCCTCCCATGCAGGGAGATCATTTTGTCCAGGGATATGGCCCCAGGTCAGAACTGAGTTACAGTTTGCCTACCCTGTTTACCAAGACCCGCAGGGAAACAGGTATTAAGAACCACTTGATTTTAAAGTAGTAAAATCTCTTGCGGAGTCGGTCCGAACATAAGGGATTATTGCATCTTTCACCCTGGCCCAAGTAGAAGCTCTTAGCAGACACTGTATGACACCTAGCGATTGGAGTGGACTAGCCCGTGCCTGTTTGAGTCCAGGACAATATTTAGACTGGAAGGCATTCTTGATTGAGAATGCAACTGAACAAGCAGCCGCTAACCAGAGAAATGTTACTCCGGCCTGGGACAGGGATATGTTGCTCGGACAGGGCAGATTTGCCAATCAACAGACGGGCTACCTGGTCCAGGTCTATGAGCAGATTAATCAGATATCTACAAGAGCGTGAAAGTTGTTGCCAAACAAAGGGGAAGTAAGTGACAATCTGACCAAGATCTTGCAGGGCCCCATGGAGCCCTTCTCAGACTTTGAGGAAGCCGCAGGGAGGATTTTTGGTGATCCCGATACAGCCATGCCACTCATTAAACAGCTAGTCTATGAACAATGTACAAAGGAGTGTAGAGCCACAATTACACTTTATAAGAACAAAGGCCTTGAAACATAGATGAAGGTGTGTAGAGAGCTCGGGGGACCCCTGACCAACACAGGGTTAGCAGCTGCAGTGATGAAGCTGACACAGAAGAAAGAGAATAATTCAGGGGCATGCTTCAAGTGTGGAAAGTTAGGACACCTGAAAAGACAGTATCCAGAGAAAAGAACTAGAGATTATGGCAAAGGAAGAAGTGGCCAACGCCCTAAGCAACCAGGCCTCTGCCCAAAGTGTAAAAGACATGGGGTTTAAGTTAAGCAATGAATATTCTGTTTCTGCCCAGCGCATGATGCAAGATATGGGTTATGCTCCAGGCTTTGGAATAGGGAAGTGTCTGCAAGGGCATAGGAATCCTATATCTGCTCAACAGAGACAAAAGAGACAGGGCCTGGGTTTTTCCTAGGGGCCGCTGAAGAAGGCATTCCCATAACATGGAAGATGGAGGAACCAGTGTGGGTTCCTCAGTGGCCACTTTCCTCTGAAAAGCTATGCGCTGCCAAAGAGTTGGTGGCTGAACAGATATCCTTAAAGCATGTAAGACCATCTGTTTCTCCCTGGAATACACCTATTTTTGTTATCAGAAAGAAATCAGGGAAATGGAGGTTGCTGCATGAACTGTGTGCTATTAATCAACAAATGCAGATCATGGGCCCAGTACAGCGAGGGTTGCTGCTTTTATCATCTTTGCCAGCCTCCTGGCCTATAATAGTAATAGATATTAAGGACTGTTTTTTCTCCATCCCCTTGTGTGCCAAGGATAGTGAAATGTTTGTATTCACCATTCCATCATGTAATCATAAAGAACCTGATCAGAGATTTGAATGGTTGGTCTTGCCTCAGGGCATGGCAAATAGCCCTACTATGTGTCAACTCTATGTAGGTGAGGCCATCGACCCTCTGAGAAGAAAGTTTCCAGCTTTGAGATGTGTTCACTATGTAGATGATATCTTGCTAGCAGCTAAAAGTGAGCAAGTTTTAGATCTAGCCTACGGAGAACTGATTAAGTTACTGGAGAGGAGAGGATTGTTTATCGCCCCTGAAAAGGTTCAAAAAGAGAGCATTATCAATTACCTAAGAGCATGTATTGGACCTGTAAGTATTTCTCCTCAAAATATTGAGTTGAGGAAAGATAATTTGAAGACCTTAAATGATTTTCAAAAGTTATTAGAGGATATTAATTGGATAAAAAGCTATTTAAAGTTGCCAAATTATGAATTAAAGCCCCTATATAATATTTTGATAGGTGATTCAACACTTGATTCCCCTAAGCAATTGACAGCAGAGGCTAGAGTAGCTTTACAAAAGGTTGAGGAGAGACTTCAGAGTGCCTTTCTACAACGATGGCAAGACCATCAGCCTACTCTTTTATGCATCTTTGCCACTGCCTATCAACCTACAGGATTATTGTGGCAGGAAGGGCCATTGTTATGGATATATCCTAAAATTTCACCTGCTAAATCAGTGGAGCATTATCCAACGGCCTTTGCAACACTTGCCCTGAATGGCATACAACAGTGTGTGCGATTTTTGGGGTCTCCCCTACTTCTATCATAGTACCCTATTCTAGTCATCAGCTTAAGATCTTATGCGGTACTATTGATGATTGGGCTATTTTGCAATGCAGTTTTTCAGGTCAATTCGATAATCACTATCCCCAGCACCCGTTGTTGTCCTTTTTTAGGGAGCATCCCGTGATTTTTCCAAAAGTAACTTCAATGGGCCCCATAAAGGGTGCTCCCAATGTGTTTACAGATGGTTCAAAAACAGGCTGTGGAGCCTATATGGTGGAAAAACAAGAACCGGTGCTGTGTCAGTTTTCACCAGGATCCCCTCAGATTGTAGAATTGGAAATAGTTGTGGAAGTGCTTAAGAATTGCACATTTGCATTTAATTTGATTTCAGACTCTGCCTATGAAGTAAATGTTGTTAAGAACTTAGAAGCTGCGGGCGCTATAAAATCTAGCAGTAAGGTTTTTCATTTGCTGCATGACCTTCAGCAGTTGATTTGGCAAAGGAGACAGACCTTTCACATTCAACACATCAGAGCACACACAGGTCTGCCAGGCCCATTGAGTAAGGGTAATGATACTGTGGACCGATGGACCAGAGTGGAGTGTGTTTTCCTAAGTACAGCTCTGGAACAGGCTCGACAGTTTCACCAAACCTTTCATGTCAAGTCAAAAACCCTACAACAAAAATTCCACTTGTCTAGAGCGGACGCTCAACAAGTGGTTTTGGACTGCCCTCAATGTATTATCCATCATCATCCTCCTAACATTGGAGTCAACCCTAGAGGCTTGTTGCCTCTTAAACTTTGACAGATAGATGTTACACATATCTCTGAATTTGGAACTTTAAAATATGTACATGTGTCAGTTGACACCTGTTCAGGTGTCATACATGTTACACCTCTGAGTGGAGAAAAGGCTCACAATGTTGTCACACATTGCTTGGAAGCCTGGGCTGCATGGGGAAAACCACACCAGCTTAAAACCGACAATGGACCAGCCTATACGGCCCAAACTTTCATTAGTTTCTACAAACAGATAGAGGTACAGGTCTCCCATAGACTACCGTATAATCCTCAAAGACAAGACGTCGTGGAGCGTGCCCACCACACCTTAAAAGAGTGTCTACAAAAACAAAATGGGGGAATAGGCCAAGGCCGGACCCCTAAAGAAAGAATATCATTAGCTCTATTTACCCTTAATTTTTAAAATTTGGATGTTCATGGCCGCTCGGCAGCGGACAGACATCAGGACTTACATGGTCCATCTAAAGGCATGGTGAAATGGAGGGATATCCTGACAGGCTCCTGGTGAGGGCCTGATCCCGTGCTGACATGGGCATGAGGATCTGTTTGTGTTTTTCCTCAGGACCAACAGGATCCAGTGTAGGTGCCTGAGCGCCTGGTGCGGAAGGTTCGCCATGAAGACCCTCCTGAGGCTCGCAATGATGATGGTGACAGTGACATCAGGGTTAGCAGAGCCGAGATGGGGGATCCTATCGGTATTCCCAAAACCGATGCTGGTGATGTACAATGCACAAGTGTTCCCTAGCTTGTTTAACACCAATAGAAGCTTGGGAATGGCTTACTTACCCTATGATAGCACATTTAGTAGCATAGAAAGTAATAGAAGCCTAAAACTACAGGGCAGTCTGTGTTTTTACATGGTTAGAAATTTATCAGATACAATTGACTGCATTAAGGAGGTACAGCTTGTTGTGACAGGGAAGGTCTGTAGCAGGATGGAAGGTTACAGCAGTCCACCATCAGGAAGCAGAGAGAGGTGAATGTCCAAGCCCCTCTTGCTTTTACTTTGGTTTTTCCCATTTATGACCTCAGCCCATTTAGGGTGAGTTTTCCCACCTCAGTTGAATCTAGAAAGTCTTCACAGATACGCCTAGAGATGTATCTCCAAACTGACCATCAACATACACCCAGGGGCTCCATGGGGCTGATGTAACTATGCCATGCCAAGGCTCTAAAAATTCATTTCCCTGGTAACAGGGATGACCACAGGGGCAGCTGTTTGTATCCATGTACATGATAATGTTTTCCAGCATTGTATCTGCTACCCAGGTCTGGTCAAGAAGGATTTCCCACAAAATTGTCTAAACATTGGTGGACATAGAACAGTGTCAGAAATACACATAGTGATAAAATTTGAGGTAACAGGAGAGATACAGAAAACAGATGCAAAAGAAACTTTATAGAGGAGAAAAAAATGACAGAGGAGTAGACAGAGGAAAACGCAGAGAAAAGGCTCAGGGCAGGGAATCAGACAAAGATGGGGTGAGTACAGCACAGGGTGTGTGCACACACAGGAAATGCAATGAAGGGAGACAGGGTTGATAGAGGGACAGCTGAGGGAGGTGACTGTCTCATCAGTTATGTGTCTAGTCACCTCTGAAACCAACCCCAGCTTCTTTACAACATCAACAAAAGATTAAATTGGAGTTTTATCATTTGCCAACACTAAAAGTGCTTTTGTTTGAAAGACTGTAATTCTTCAAAAGTGAAGGTGAGCCTCAGTCAGTCACTGTACCTCACAGGACACACGGGATACACTGTGGAGAGGTCACAGTGTTCATGCCCAACTGTACTGCCATGTTTACTTTCCCTGTCCTCGCCAGCCTGAAGGAGGCTGGGGTGAGAACAGCGCACTGAACAGCAAATGTCCTGGCCATGAGGATGTGACAGCTGGCGCCTGCCTCCTCTGCCCGCCCTGACATGAAGCCCAAGGTGCCCCTGGTCACCTTTGTAGTAAAAACTGCTACTTCCAGCTACAGTTTAACCTGGTTACTTAGTCCCACATGACCCCACCCACCCCACTCAGTTACAGAAATTCAGGATACAAATAACTCAGAGAATGTTTAATTATGAAAATGAGGTGAATGGTTTCAATACATCTCTTTAGCACCCTGTGTGGGACAGCGGAGGCAGAAAGCCTGGAGTGTTACAGTAAATGGATGGTGTCTCTGGAATCAGTCCAGGGCAGAGCTGCCAACAAAGACTTGGGACCTTGGGGATCACAAGAGCTGAGCTGGGTACACTGGCACCATGCTAGACTCTGAATCCAAGAGCGGCAGGCTGATACACATGGAATTTGGAGCAGGCACCTGCAGGCCTTACAGTGTGAGACAGTCAACTCATTCAAAACGCTCTGAGTCACTGTAGAAGTCCTGTGGGAGAGAGAGATGAGTCACAGAAGGAAGAGAGGGATCAGTCACTGGAGTTCCCTGGAGATGCCTGAATCTTCTGAATCTCAATCTAACTCTCTAGACACAGACAGCTGGTGTCCCGGCCATGCCACCTCCCCATTGCCTGTGCAAAGGAGAAAGCAGCTAAAGGGGGGAGGGGGGACACAGAGCCTCACAAGACACAAACGTGTGGGAAGGGGAAGAGAAGCCACCACCCTCCCAGGGAATATGGAGGATCCGATCTTTGGGTAGGTTGGAGGGATCCGTGTACTCTGCAGGACTGTCAGCCTCTCCCTGACACTGTCACTGTCCACGGTCACAGTCTCCATGTGGGGCACAGAGCAGGCAACATCTTGGTGTCTACACCCATGGCTCAGGGTCCACTCAAGACACCACTCAAGTGATGGTGGTAAAGTCCTGCTGGGGACGAAGCCCGGGAGCTTCCTAAGGACACTGGCTGTGACATCAACTGTGACCCTCTCAACCCCACAGCACAGACAGACTGTGAACCAGGACTGTGCCAGACACAGCTGCCTCACATCTTCCCTCCCACCCTCACCCCTGCACCACCCTTCCCTCACACCCTCACCCCTGCACCACCCTTCTCCCACACCCTCACCCCTGC